GGGTACTACAAAACAGCTGGTCAGTGAAGCACCTGGGTCCATCCTGTGCTGCTGGGTGGATGCTTGGGGAAGCCCTCAGTAATGGGGCAGCCTCATGATGTGGCATGCAGTGGGGCTGTGTGAAGGCTGGAGGGCAAGCCTGTGCTTTCGGCATCCCCTGATTTCTCTGTAGCCAGGTTTAACAAAAGCATTTGCAGGTCATGCACTGCTTATACCTGCCTTTATTAGCACAACCCCCATCCCGTGCTTGTGTCCACTATGCCCTGAGCCCCTAAGCTGCTGCTTCCCTGAGTATGTCTCAAGCGTGGGTTTGCTTCTTTCCCTCCAGACCTAGCTGTGCTGGAAATGTTCCCAAAAAATGCAAGCCAGCTCTTTGCTGAGCTTTGAAGTGTGGAGTAGAATTGAACAGGGAAAAAAAAAACAACCTATCCTATGGGGGATGGGTTTTTAGAAAAAAACCTATTGAGTCGATGGCATTTGTATTAAAACCAGTGAGTCCTTGGAGTCATTTCCATAGGAACCAGCCCCCCCTGTTCCAGGCAGCTTCCCACAGTAGCACCCAAGGCTGAGCAGAGAGCAGTGCTGCAAGGGAGGGCTCTGAGCTCTACTCACCCCAGGCAGGGGGAGCAGGGCAGGGCAGGCTGCTCGCTGGTGAATCAGTGATTCACAGCTCTGATTCACCACTCTATCCTATAGCCGTGGAAGACAGCCAGATCTGGTCATCAGCTGTGTGCCTTTTTCCAATGTGAGAAGTTATTTTTGGGTGTTTTTAGATTACAGCACTTGTTTTTTTTCCCCTGCCTCTGAATTCTGGATGATTGCACTGCCAGTAATTGAGGCACTTGAATTTCCTGCTTAAAGAAGTAAGCACAATACCATTTTTTGCAAGTCTAAGGCATTTCTAAAATAGCTTTTCTGCTTGTCGTCATGGTGAGCAGGCATACAGCTTTGGGTCTGTTTATGCAAAATTTGGGAACACTAGGTGCAGTAGGTTTGCAGAAAAGGACCTGGGGGCCATCAGATTGAATATCAGTCTTCATTGCACCCTTACTGTGATGGATACAGGTGGACTGTATACTGGGTTCTACTGGTGAGCTTGTAGCCAGCAGGTCAAGATAAGAGATGCCCTTAATTTGGCACTTACGGGATAATGCCTGGAGCACTGTGACTGGCTTTGGGCTCCCCACTACAAGAAAGACCATATGGGAGTGACCAAAATGATCAGGGGTTTGGAGTCCATCGCAGGGGAGAAGAGGCTGAGAGAGCTCCTTCAGCTTTGAGATGTGAGAGCTAGAAGGGTCTAATTGCTGTCTTCAGAGATGCACACTGAAAGGATGAGGGGCAATGGGCACATGTTTCAACAAGACAAATTTGGAGTAGATTTTAGGAAATGTTTTTCACCCATAGGTCATGAAACACTGGAGCAGGAAACCAGAGAGACTGAGAAATCTCATGCTCAAAGTGTGGCTGCTCAGAGCCCTGAGCATCTAATATAACACTGGATCCAACTGAGAGTTTGGCCCAGTTTTGAGTGGGGTGTTGGACCAGAGATCTTCCCATCTTCATTAGGCTGGGTGCTTCATGTCCCTCATCAACTGAATCAATCTGATTTTTGTGATCCCACAGAGCATTAAGAGGGTGTAGGGCTTTTGCTGTCCCCCTGACATTGGGATGTAGCTGTAATGCAGGGGCCAGTGAAGTCCACCATGTAAGTTCACGTGTGTTCACTCCATCTCTAAGACCAGAAGAAAAGAAAAGGTTCTGACAAGCTGCCCATCTCCCCATTCTCCGGAGATGGGCCTCCCTCTGCTCACTGGTGATGCAGGGTCACCCTTCCCTGGGGGCTCGCAACTCTGTAACAAGAGCTCAAAATAACCTAAACAAGATCCACACGTTTCTTGGTACAGCTGCTCCTCTTGTGCCATGCACCAGAGGGGTTGGACTGTGCTGCTCACCCCCCTCCCTGGCTGCAGGGATTAACCACAGCCCTTCTTTTTGCCCTTTCCAAGCCAGCCCTGGGCAGATTTGGTGCTTGGTGGTGGCCAGCTCTCCTGTCTGTGACTGCATGCAGCTGTAGGTCTAAGGGTGGTTGGGGTGGAGAGGGAGGATCCCCTGGCTAGGGAGCTCAGTGAAGTTGGGGGTTCTGGTGCTACCTCCTGGGTGAATGCCCTGAGCTCAGGGTGAGCCTTTCCT